ACTCTAAGTTTCACGCTAGCATAGGTGGAGGCCAAGACACATGGCGACAAAGAGGGTATATACACGTTTAGCAACTCGTCGACACAGTAGCGGACACGCTAACAGAGACGAGGGCCGTAATACTTGCTATCACAATGGGTGATATAGGAGAGGAGGCACTGGCTGGGAGACTGGCTGTCACGCTAAAAAAGGCCGAGTGCCTGGTCAAAACACTAAGTGATGCCTTCACCGATGCACCTGATTCCACGGTGGCTAACAAGCTAGAACAGAGGGAGGCCGAGGCACCTGTAAACACGTTTACTGCCACGCTAGTAAAAAAGGAGGGACAAAACACTTTGGGACACAACGAAAGATGTGCAAACAGAGACACTCTTGGACACCGTCGCTCACCCGCTAGCAGTGGTGGACACATAGACACTTGGCAAAAAACTGGTTTTTTTTTAAGGTAAAAGCATTTCTCGAAACGCCAGCTGACAGAGTAAATAAGACAAAGAGAGGAACACATTGCGACACGCTAGGTTGAGGCACTAGTCAAGATTTTGCCTGACAAGCTTGCAAATGCGAAGGCCAGAATACACTGTCTCTCGACCTCCACCTCTTCTCGCCTGTCAGCTTGTCTGTCAACCTGCAACAAGGTCTCCGCCTCGGTTAGTGTGTTGCTTAGTGTCTCAAAGGCAATCTCTCTTAGACAGTTGGCATGTCAGCCACAGTGGTGACTGCTGTCACCTACACCACTCTATGGTTAAGAGTATCAAATTCCACCTTTGATAACCTTGCAGACACTTTGTTTACCAGCGCCTGCTATTCCACTTTAATAAGTGTGTAGGCAACTGTCTCCATCTTCATCACTGCTAACCTGTCAGCCAGGGTGTCTACCAGCATCTTGGCACCCATCTCCAATAATGTGTTCTAAACTGTCTCGACCTCTTTCGTTTTTTTCCTTTTAGCCAGTGTGTTGAGAAGCGCCTGGACCTTCAGCTTAGCCAGTGACTTGCAAGGTTTCTTAAACAACAGCTCTGATAGCCTAGCAGCCAATCCTAGTGGGTTTTAAAGTGACTTTACCTGCACTCTTCCTTGCCTCTTAACCAGAGTGTGAAACCGCGTATCAATCTCCACCTCAAACAAGATGTCGCAGAGTATGTTAAGCATACAGCATCCAGCATCCAGCCTCGCCATGGAATACAGCTCAGCCAGTGAGTCGGCTAGCGTCTAAAACTCAAACAGTGTGTAGTGAAGTTATTCGTTCCTTACCTATGATAGCCTAATAGTTAGTGTAAAAAGCAAAGCCTAACCTCGGCTAGTGTTTTGTAAATTGTGTCAACTTTATCTTTAGCTGGTCTGTCAGCCAATACGTAAACCAGGCTTCTGGCCTACACCTCAGCCAGTCTTTTGCTAAGTGTCTCCACCTCCAGTACTGCTAACCTTTCAGTTAGGTTCTGGACCTCGGCAAGGCCTGCACCTCAAGTAATGTTTTGCTCAGTGTCTAGACGTCCACATGTATTTGACTGTTGTCAGTGTTTTGATGAAAGCCTTGGCCTGCTTTTTTTGGTGTAAAGGAAATTGTCCTGACTGCTATTACGTTTAGCATGTCTGTCAGTGTGTCTTGACCTTTAACTTTAGCAGGCTCTTAGAGAGAGTGTCGGCTAGCCTCTCCGCCTTCACGTAGGCCTAGTGTCGCCAAGTTTGTCGACTTTCTCTACAACACTGGTAGCGTGTCCTCTTGTTGTTTGACCGTCCTCTTTGTAGGCTTTTAACTTTACGAGGGTGTCGCCTAGTGTTTTAAACTCTGCCTCCGCTTGCCCTTCAGCAAGTGTCTCTTCCAGCGCTTTAGCTTCCACTTAGGCCAGTTTTTTGCCAATTTCCTTGAAGTGAACTTCTGCTAGTTATGCAGAGACTGTCTCCACCAGCGCGTCAGCCTCCACCTTGGAAAATATGTTGCCAAGTATGATTACTTTCACCTCCGAAACCTCTAAGTTAGGACTAGTGAGTTTGCATGCAGCACGACCAGTGTGTCGCTCAGTGTTCTGACATCTATCTCTGCTAGCTTGACAGCTATTATGTTGACTTACGCTTAGGTCTGCCTCTTAACTAGTGTGTTGCTCAGTAATAATAATAATAATAATAATAGTAATAATAATAATAGTAATAATAATAATAGTAATAATCTTTATTTCTTAAGATAAAATTACATATCCTAAGTTACAATATAAACTCAAAAACTATTTACATATCATGTCTAAAAATTATTCTGTTACTTAAAACGTTCTTAAACCTGTCAGTGTAGATTCTAGGGACAGAGACTGACGTATTTCTAAGATTGTACCTCGTGTTCTTTTCCTTAGGTTAAAACTGGAAGAACCGATATTCGGGGTCATTCGATCTTTTTTGTAGAGTGTCTTGTCCGCCTTCTCTAGCAAGTCCCTGATATTTACATTCTAAAAAATTCTGTATTACAGAAAGGTCGGAATCTTCTCAGCCTCTACCAAGGGCAGTCAGTCGCTAATTGCCTCAACCTCACGTTTGGTAGCCTATGGTCGAGTTTCCACAAGCGCCAAAGACTTTTCGTTGGCCAGTGTCTGGCACGAGTGTCGAATTACACCTGTTATAGCAGGTGTAAGCAGCCTCTGGGCCTGTACGCCACCCAGTGTTTTGCCAAGTCTCTGGAACTAATCTTTTGCTAGCCTGACAGCCAGTGTGTCTACCGGTGCCTTGCGTTTTTAGTTGGTCAGAGTGTAGGCAAGTGTCTCGACTTTCATAAGCCTTTCAGCCAGTTCGTTGACCAGCACGTCGGCCTCTGCCACAGCCATGGTGGTGTAACCTGTTTTGATCTTTAAATGTGATAGACTGTTAGTTAATTTGTAAGACTAGGTCTTCACTGCGCCTAGCATTTGGCCAAGTGTCTGGACCTTTTCCTCCCAAAGCCTGTAGGGTGGTGTCTCGGTTGGGCGACAGCCCTTACCATCGAGAGAAAGTCAGCAAATGTGTTGACTTACCACTCTCTTACGTTTCCAGCCATTGTGTCTACTTGTGCTTCAGCCTTCTTGTTGGCCTTTTCATCTACTTTCACTCCCTCCAACTCTGCTAGCCTGTCAGCCCGTGAATTCACCATTTCATCACTGTTTAGCTTTGGCTCGTGTCGCCAAGTCTGTCGACCTTTATTTCTGCTTCCCTGTCAGCCATTTGGTAGTCCAGCGCCTTCGCGTTTACTTTAACCTGTTTAAAGCCAAGTGACTAGACCTTATTTATTGCTACCGTTTTACTCAATGTTTCTAACATTTTCATGCTTTTTAGCTCGGACAGTGTGTCGCCAAGTGTGTGGACCTTAACCTCTGTTTCTCTGGCTGCCAGTGTGTCAACCACCGCTTTGCACTCCACCTTGGCTGGCATGTAGCCAACTTTTTCTTCCTCCACCACTGAGAGCCTGTGAGCCAGTGCATATATAAGCATCTGGGCGTCCACCCTTGCAGGTTTGTAGCATAGAGTCCCCTGTTACCCTGTAAACAACTGTGTCCACAAGTCCTTCAGTCTTTACCGTGCACAATTTGTCTGCAAGTGTGTCGAACTCTACCGCTACCAGCCTGTCCGCCAGTGAGGCTTTGGCCTCCAATTTAGCTAGTCTTTCGCTAAGTTTCTTGTTCTTCACCTTTGCTTGCCTTTTAACCAGTGCCTTGATTATCACTTTAGCCTTTACCTTTTACAGTATCTCGCAAACTGTCTTAACCTCTACTTCGACCAGCCTCTTTGTCAGTGTGTCGTCGCAACTTGTATTTCTCCTAGCTGTCACCCAGTGTATCCAAGAGCTTTTTTCTTCCCAATTTTGTAGGCTAGTGTCTTGAATAGGCGTCACCCTTGTTCTTGCAGCCAGTGTGTCTACTTATGCCTTGGCCTCCTTCAGGGCCTGTTCTTCACCAAGTGTCTCGACCTCTACCTCGGCTAACCTGTCAGCCAGTGTGATCACCGGTGCATCATTTTTGGCGTTAGCTAGTGTCACCAAGTTTGTCGACCTTTACTTCTGCTTGTCTGTCAGCCATTAGGTAGACTAGCGCCTTCGCGTTTACCTTAACCTGTGTGTCGCCAAGTGACTAGACGTTTTTTTCTCCTACCGTGTCACACAATTTGTCTAACATTTCCATGCCCTTTACCTCGGATATTGTGTCGCCAAGTGTCGCACCTTAACCTCTGTTTCTCTGGTTGCAATGTGTCAAACACCACTTTGCACTCCACCTTAGACGGCGTGCTGCTAATTTTTTCTTTTTCCACCACTGGTAGCCTGTCAGCTAGTGCGTATATAAGCGTCTCCGGGTCTATCTCCGCAAGTGTGTATCATAGGGTCTGGACATTCACCTCCTTTACCCCTTAAACGACTGTGTCCACCAGCGCTTCAGTCTTAAGCAGCAGTGTGGCCGTGGTCTTGTTTTCAGCTAGTCTTTTGCTAAGTGTCTTGTTCTCCTCCTTAACTGGCCTGTTATCCAATGCCTCAATTATCGCTTTAGCGTTCACTTCGTACAGTATCTAGCAAAACGTGTTAACCTTCACTTGGACTAGCTTGTTTGTTAGTGTGTCGTCCCAGCTTGCATTTCTGCTAGCCTGTCTCCCAGTGTATCCAGCACCTACTTCGCCTCCAGCTCGGCCACTGTGTCGCCAAGTGTCTCGACCTCTACCTGCCAGTGACTCGCAAGGTGTCTCAACCTACACTTCTGATAGCCTAGCAGCCAATGTGTCGAGCAGCGCCTCTTTGTCTGTTTTCAAGTGACTTTAACTCCACCCTCGCTTGCCTCTCAACCAGAGTGTCAACCAGCGTGTCAATCTCCACCTCAAACAGTGTGTCGCTAAGTATTTTAAGCATAGAGTATCCAGCATCGCCATGGCCTTCAGTTCGGCCAGTAAGTCGCCTAGCGTCTTAGACTCGGACAGTGAGTAGCAAAGTTATTCGACCTTTACTTATGATAGCCTTTTAGTTAGTGTAAAGTGCAAAGCCTAACCTCCACTGTTGTTTCGTAAAGTGTGTCAACTTCCTCCTCTGCTAGCCTGTCAGCCAGTAGGTTAACCAGCCTCGTGGCCTCCGCCTCGGCCAGTCTTTTGCTAAGTGTCTCAACCTCCAATACTAATAACCTTTCAGTTAGTGTCTTAACCTAGGCAAGGCCTGCACCTCGATTAATGTGTTGCCTAGTGTCTCGACGTCCACCTCTTTCTGACTGTTGGCCAGATTGTTAACCAACGCGTTGGCCTTTTTCTTTGTCAGTGTGAAGCCAAGAGTCTCGACTCCTTCCTCTTTAAGCATGTCAGTCAGTGTGTAGAGGTGTGTCTTGATCCCCAACTTTTGTATCCTCTTAGAGAGAGTCTCGACCAGTTTCTCCGCCTCCACCTAGGACAGTGTCTTGCCAAGTTTCTCGACTTCTTTACCACTCTGCTAGCTTGTCCTCTTGTTGTTCGACCAGCCTCTCGTCAGGCCCCTACCTTCACGAGCGTGTCGCCAAGTGTCTTGACATCTGCCTCCGCCTGCACTTCAGCCAGTATGTTAAATCGAAGGCTTCACTTGTATTTTAAGGAAAATAAGATATTACATAATTCCCAAATTGGCTTTTTGCCTTAAAACCGCACTGCAGACCATGTTTTAACTCTAACGACCTTAATAGATAAATATGTGCATTATCACAAGGAAAAAGTCTACGCTTGTCTCGTACATTTCTGCAAAGCGTTTGACTCTTTTTGGCACGAAGAGTTGTTTTATAAGCTGCTAAAAGCGAATATAGAAGGAAACTTGTATAACCTCGTGAAAAGCCTTTATTGCAACTTGACATGTTCCATCAAAATCGGTGAAAACAAAACACAGCCTTTTTCATATTCCAGAGGTGTATGTCAAGGCTGTATTTTAAGTCCTCATTTATTTAACCTCTATTTAAACAATCTACCCTATTTATTTGGAAACACCTTATCTGACCCATTTGTTCTTCCAAATGAGAAAAAAATAAATTCACTTTCTTAGGCAAATGTTTTAGTTATTCTATCAAGATCGAAAACTGGATTACAGAACTGTTTAAATGCGCTTTCCTTGCATTGTGACAAATGGAAGCTAGAAATTAATTTGAGGAAAACAAAAATCCTGATATTCCAGTAACGGGCAAAAAAATCTATTGGTATCAAAATCAACATAGGCAGTGAGTCGATTCAAATTGTCCATCGATACACTTATTTAGGGACACCTTTTACTCTAACGGAAAACTTTACACTTGCATTCGAACACTTTAAAGAAAAGGCCCTTCACGCGTTGTCTAGTATTCGGAAGAGGACAATTCCTTACAAACTTAATCCTAATACTGCATCCCAAATTTTTGACACCAAAGTATTCCCAATCTTGAGTTACAACAGCGTGGTATGAGGAATGTACACCAAGCAAAATTTAAAAAAATGGGATAGCTCCCTAATAGAAAAACTCCACCTCAAATTCTGTAAACGTTACTTAAGGGTCAACAATAAGGCCTCTAACATAGCTTGCAGAGCTGAACTTGATANTTTTACTCTAACGGAAAACTTTACACTTGCATTCGAACACTTTAAAGAAAAGGCCCTTCACGCGTTGTCTAGTATTCGGAAGAGGACAATTCCTTACAAACTTAATCCTAATACTGCATCCCAAATTTTTGACACCAAAGTATTCCCAATCTTGAGTTACAACAGCGTGGTATGAGGAATGTACACCAAGCAAAATTTAAAAAAATGGGATAGCTCCCTAATAGAAAAACTCCACCTCAAATTCTGTAAACGTTACTTAAGGGTCAACAATAAGGCCTCTAACATAGCTTGCAGAGCTGAACTTGATAGATTGCCGCTGCTTATCCCGATAAATCAGAAAATTATAAAATATTTTGTTTACCTCAACAACAAAGATAATAACTGTACAGTAAAAAAGTCTTTCGTTATGTCAAAGAATCTACAGGCTATGAATAATTCAGGATATTTTTCCAATTTCATAAACATGTTTAAACAATACAATCTAAGCAGTTTAGATGTTGAATCTCAAGATAATGAAAAAATTAGACGATATACCACAGAAATGAGAGAGAAATATCTATTTTTTTGGCGGCACAGCTTGAAAATTCAAAAAAACGAGAATTTTGTAAACCTTTTAAAGATTAATATTCTACATCTGATTGTCTCTACCACGTAAGACATTATGACGAACGAGAAAATTTTGTTAAATTTAAAAGAAGTAATCACAAACTTATGATTGAACATAGTCGATACCAAATCGATCATTTGCCAAGAAAATATCGATTATGTCCCTTATGTAACTCAAATCAGGTAATAGATGAGATTCATTTCCTCTTTCAATGTAACAAAGTACAGAGACAGGCATTTATTAATAAAATCAATCGAATAATACCTGACGTTGAAAAGAAATCATTTCCAGAAAGCATAAAACTGATAATAAATTCAAAGGACCATCATGTAAATAAGTTAGTTATGAAGTTTGTTTCCTTCTGTATGAAAATACGTGATTTATTGTTAGTAAGGTAACTGAATTTTTCTAGATTATTATTAGTGCTATTTGTTTTATATTTTTGTTGTCAATACTGTAAAACGATGCTCTCATGCAAATAAGGCAATTAATGACTTATTACTATTTCTACCGCTTTATCTACTACTTAGGACAGTCTTTCGTCAATTGCCTCGATCTCCACCTTTGCAAGTTATCCAGACAGTGACTCCACCAGCGCGTCAGCCTCCACCTTCGAAAATACGTTGCCAAGTGTGTTTACCTTTACTTCTGCAAGCCCTCACTTTGGTTTTCCACCAGGGCGTTTGCATCCAACACGACCAGTGTGTTGCTTAAGGTCCTGACCTCCATCTCTGCTAGCCTGTCAGCCATTATATTAACTTACGCGTTAGCTTGCGTCTTAGCTAGTGTGTTGCTCAGTGTCTTACCTAGGCGATAAGGCTATTAGTTAGTGTGTCAACTAGCCTCTTAACCTCTACCTAGTTCAGTGTGTTGCTTAGTGCCTTGACCCCCACCTCTGCTAGCCTATATTGTAGTGTTTTAACAAGCGCCCAAGACTTTACTTTGGCCATTGTCTGGCGAAGAGTGTCAAGCTACAACTCTGCTAGCTTGTCAGTTGTTTGACCAGCCTCTGCCCCTGTACCTCGGCCAGTCTTTCGCCAAGTATCTTTAACTAAACTTCTGCTAGCCTGACAGCCAGTGTGTTTGCCAGTGCCTTGCGTTTTCAGTTGGCGAGAGTTTAGCCGAGTGTCTCCACTTTGCCAACTGCAAACATGTCAGTCAGTTCGACGACCAGCACGTCGGCTTCTGCCTCAGCCACGGTTGTGTCAACTGTGTAGACTTTTAAATCTAGTAGTCTGTCAGTTAATGCGAAGTCTAGAGACTAGGTCTTTACCTCGCCTAATGATTGGCCAAGTGTGTAGACGCCTACCTCTGCAAGCCTGTAGGGTAGTGTCTCCCTTGCGCGTCAGCCTCTAACACAGACAGTAAGCCGCCAAATGTGTTGACTTGTCACTCTGTTACCTTTTCAGCCATTGTGTCTACTTGTCCCTTGGCGTCCGCCTTGGCTTGTTCTTCTTCTGCTAGCCTGTCAGCTAGTATGTTAACCAGCCTCCTGGCATCCACCTCGGCCAGTCTTTTGCCAAGTGTCTCCACCTTCATTCTCTTAACTTTTTAGATATTGTCTTAACCTAGACAATGCCTGCACCTTGATTGCTCAGTGTTACTACGTCCACCTCTCTTTGACTATTGGCCACTGTGTTGATTAGCACCTTGGCTTTCGTCTCTTTTAGTGTGAAGCCAAGTGTCGCGACTCCTACCTCTTTTAGCATGTCAGTCAGTGTGTCGATAAGTGTCTTGACCTCCAACTTTAGTAGACTCTTAGCGAGTGTCGACCAGCCTCTCCGCCTCCACCTAAACCAGTGTCTCACCAAGATTGTCGACCTTCTTTAACACTCTGCTAGCTTCTCCTCTTGATGTTTCACCAGCCTCTTTGTAGGCCTCTACCTTCACGAGCGTCTCGCCGAGTGTCTTGACCTCCGCCTCTGCTTGCCCTTCGGCCAGTGTTTCTACAAGCGCTTTGGCTTCCATCAAGGTCATTCTTTTGGAAATTTTCTTGATGTGTACCTTTGCTAGTTTTCCAGAAAGTGTCTCCACCAGCGCGTCAGTGTCCACATTCGAAAAATATTTTGCCAAGTGGGTTTACCTCCATCTGTGCAAGCCTCTCAGTTAGGATGTCGACCAGCGTGTTTGTATCCAAAACAGTCAGTGTCTCGCTTGGTGTCGTGACCTCTATCTTTGCTAGCGTGTCAACCACTATGTTGACCTACGCCTGGGCCTGACTCTTAGCTAGTGTATTGCTTAGTGTCTTAGCTCTAACTCTGTTAGGATATTATTTAGTGTGCCGACTAGCCTCTCAGCATCTACCTACGTCCATGTGTTGCTATTTGCCTCGACCCACACGACTGGTAGCCTATAGTCGAGTTTTCAAAAGCGTTTATGACTTTACTTTGGCCAGTGTCTGGCAAAGAGTGTCCCACTACTCCTCTACTAGCTTGTCAGCCAGTTGTTTGACCGGCCTCTGGGCCTGTATCTCGCCCAGTCTTTCGCCAAGTGTCTTGAACTAAACTTCTGCTGCTAGCCTGACAGCCAGTGTGTCTACCAGTGCATTGCGTTTTCAGTTAGTCAGAGTGTAAGCAAGTGTCTCGACTTTGGCAACTGGTAGCCTGTCAGTTAGTTCGTCGAGGAGCACGTTTGTCTCTGCCTTAGCCTTAGTGTCTCGCCGTCTACCTTTGCTAGCCCGTCAGCCAGTATGTTCACCAGTGCATCATTTTTTGCCGTTGGCTAGTGTCGCCAAGTTTGTTCATTTTTACTTCTGCTTTTCTGTCAGCCATTTGGTAGTCAAGCGCGTTGGCGTTTACTTTAGCTTGTGTGTCGCGAAATGATTTGACCTCAATTACTGCTACTTGTCGCTCATGTGTCAAACATTTCCATCCCTTTAGCTCGATAGTGTGTCGCAAAGTTTCGATCCTTAACCTCATTTTCTCCGGCTGCCAGTGTGTCAACCACCGCTTTGCACTCCACTTTGGCCGGCGTGATGCGAACTTTTTCTTCCTCCACCACTGGTAGCTTGTAACCCAGTGTGTATATAAGCATCTCGGTGTTCACCTCGGCAAGTGTGTAGCATAGAGTCAGTATCTCGGAAACTGTGTTGACCTCCACTTGGACTAGCCTCTTTCTTAGTGTTTCTTGTCAACTTGCATTTCTGCTACATTGTCACCTAGTGTATTCAGCTGCTTCTATGCCTCCAGCTCAGCCACCGTGTCGCTAAGTGTTACAACCTCAACCTCTGCTCGCCTGAAAGGTGGTGTGTCGACCTGCGCGAAGGTCTGCGCCTCGGCTAGTGTGTTGCTTAGTTTCTCAAAGGCAATCTCTCTGAGAGAATTAGCATGACAGCCAATGTGTTGACTGCCTTAAGGAACACCAGTGTATGGTTAAAAGTATTAAATTCCACCTCTGTCACCTACCACTCTATGGTTGAGAGTATCAAATTCCACCTTTAATAACCTTGCAGACAGTTTGTTTACCAGCGCGTGGTACTCCACTTTAACCAGTGTGTAGGCAACTGTCCCTATCTTCACCATTGCTAGCCTGTCAGCCAGTGTGTCTACCAGACTAACCTCGGCTAGTGTTTTGTCAAGTGTGTCAACTTGCTCCTCTGCTAGTCATTCAGCCAGTACGTCAACCAGCCTTCTGGCCTGCACCTCGGTCAGTCTTTTGCTAAGTGTCTTGACCTCCAATACTACTGACCTTTCAGTTACTGTCTTAACCTAGGCAAGGCCTGCACCTCGATTAATGTGTGCTTAGTATCTCGACGTCCACCGCTTTTTGACTGTTGGCCAGTGTGTTGACTAACGCCTTAGCGTTTTTCTTTGTGAGTGTGAAGCCAAATATCTCGACTCCTATTACATTTAGCATGTCAGTCACTGTGTAGGGAAGTGTCTTGACCTCCAACTTGTGTAGGCTCTTAGAGAGGGTGTCGACCAGACCCTCCGCCTCCACCTAGGCCAGTGTCTCGCCAAGTTTCTTGACTTCTTTACCACTCTGCTAGCTTATCCTCTCGTTGTTTGACCAGCCTTTCTCCAGGCCATTACCTTCACGAGGTTGTCGCCGAGTGTCTTGACATCTGCCTTCGCTTGCACTTCAGGTAGTGTGTCTAGTACCCCTTTAGCTTCCACTTAGGACAGTCTTTCGTCAATTGCCTCGATCTCCATCTTTGCTAGTTATTCAGACAGTGTTTCCCCTAGCGCGCCAGACTCCACCTTCGAAAATATGTTGCAAAGTGTGATTACTTTCACCTTTGCAAGCCTCTCAACTAGGTTTTCCACCAGGGCGTTTGCATCCAACACGGTTAGTGTGTTGCTTAGTGTGCTGACCTTCATCTTTGCTAGCCTGTCAGCCATTATCTTGACTTACCCGTAAGCCTGCCTCTTAGCTAGTGTGTTACTCGGTGTCTTACCTAGGCTATTAGGCTATTAGTTAGTGTATCGACTAGCCTCTCAACCTCTACCTAGGTCAGTGTGTTTTTAAGTGCCTCGACCCCCACCTCTGCTAGCCTATAATCGAGTGCAATTACAACCGCCTAAGACTTTACTTTGGCCATTGTCTGGCGAAGAATGTCAAGCTACACCTCTGCTAGCTTTTCAGCCAGTTGTTTGACCAGCTTCAGAGCCTGTACCTAAGCCAGTCATTCGGGAGATATCTGGAACTAAACGTCTGGTAGCCTGACAGCCGGTCTGTTTACCAGTGCCTTGCGTTTTCAGTTGGCGTAGTGTAGGCCAAACTCTCGACTTTTGCAACTGCAAATATGTCAGTCAGTCCGACGACCAGCATGTCGGCTTCTGCCCAGACCTGCCTAGACCATAGTTAGTTGACACGGTGGTGTCAACTGTGTAGATTTCTGGTAGCCTGTCGGTTAATGTGTAGTCCAAAGACTAGGTCTTCACCTCACCTAATATTTGGCCGAGCGTGTAAACGCCTACCTCCGCAAACGTGTAGACTAGTGTCTCCGTTGCGCGTTAGCCTCTACCACAGAAAGTAAGTCGCCAAATGTGTTGACGTTTTACTCTGTTACCTTTTCAGCCGGGGTGTCTACTTGTTTCTTTGCGTCCGCCTTGGCCTGTCCTTTGCCAAGTGTCTCGACCCCCACCTGCACTAGCCTCTCAGCAAGTCTGTTCAGCAGTGCATTATTTTCGGCGTTGGCTAGTATCACCAAGTTTGTCGACCTTTACTTCTGCTTCTCTGTCAGGCATTTGGTAGTCGAGCGCCTTGGCGTTTACCTCAATTTGTGTGTCGCCAAGTGACTCGACCTCATTCTCTGCTACCGGATGACTCAATGTGTCAAACGTTTCTATGTTCTTTAGCTTAGACAGTGTGTCACCAAGTGTGTGGATTTTAACCTCGGTTTCTTTGGCTGCAAGTGTGTCAAGCACCGCTTTGCTTTCCTTGGCGGGCGTGTTGCCAACTTTGTCTTCCTCCACCACTGGTAGCCTGTCAGCCAGTGTGTATATAAGCGTCTCGGCATCCACCTCGTCAACTGTGTAGCAAAGGGTCTCAACATCCACTTCTTTTACTCTTCAAACAAGTGCGTCCACTAGCGCTTCAGTCTTTATTATGGACAGTTTGTCCCCAAGTCTGTCGACCTCTGCCGCTACCAGCCTGTCCGCCAGTGTGGCCCTAGAGTCGACTTTAGCTAGTCTTTTGCCTTCTGTGTTGGTCTTCACCTTTTGTTGCCTTTCCACCAGTGCCTCGATTATCGCTTTAGCTTTCACCTCTTACAGTATCTACAAGACTGTGTTGACCTCCACTTGGGCTAGCCTCTTTGTTAGTGTGTCGTGTCAAACCTGAATTTCTGCTAGCCTGTCACCCAGTAAATACAGCACCTTTTTGGCCTCTAGCACGGCCACTGATTCGCTAAGTGTCTCGACCTTTACTTATGCTCGCCTGTTAGCCGGTGGGTCGACCTGCGCTATGGTAACAGCTCAATTAGTGTGTTGCATAGTGTCTTAAAGTTAATCTCTCTTAGACAGTTACCATGTCAGCTAATGTGTTCACTGCCTAGACCTACTCCACTGTATGGTTCAGCTCGGCCACTGTGTCTCGACCTCCATCTCTGCTCGCCTGACAGCCGGTGTGTCGACCTGCGCCAAGGTTGGCACCTCGGCTAGTGTGTTGCTAAGTTTCTCAAAATCGATCTGTTTTAGACAGGTAGCATGTCACACAAGGTGTTGACTTCCGTAACCCAAAACCACTTTATGGCTAAGAGTATCAAATTCCACCTCTGTTAGCCTTGCAGACATTTTGTTTTACGAGCGCCTCCTAATCCACTTTGGCCGGTGTATAACCAACTGTCCCGACCTTCACCACTGCTAGCCTGTCAGCCAGTGTGTCTTCCAGTATCTCGGCCACCACCTCAAGCAATGTGTTCTAAACTGTATCGACGTCTATCTGTTTCTCCCTTCCGGCCAGCGTGTCGACCAGAGCCCGGATCCCATCTCAGCCAGTGACTCGCAAGGTTTCTCAACCTACACCTCTGATAGCCTAGTAGCCAATTTGTCAAGCAGCGCCGCTTTCTCTTTTTTCGCTAGTGTGTTTTGGAGTGACTTTATCTGCATTCTTGCTTACCTCTGAACTAGAGTGTCAACCCGCGTGTTAATCTCCACCTATGACAGTGTCTTGCCGAGAATGATGAGCACACAGCTTCCAGCATCCAGCATCGCCATTGCCTTAAGCTCGGCCAAAAAGTCGCCTAGCGTTTTGACCTCGGACACTGTGTAGTGAAGTTATTCGACCTTTACCTATGATAGCCTATTAGTTAGTGTGAAGTGCGAAGCCTAACCTTGGCCAGTGTTTTGTAAAGTGTGTTAACTTGTTCCTCTGCTAGTCTGTCAGCAGGTAGATCAACCAGCCTCCTGGCATCCACCTCGGCAAGTCTTTTGCCAAGGGTCTCCACCTCTAATACTATTAACTTTTACGTTATCGTCTCAACCTACACAATGCCTGCACCTCGATTGCTCAGTGTTTCGACGTCCACCTCTCTTTGACTGTTGCCCAGTGTGTTGACTAGCGCCTTGGCTTTCGTCTCTGTTAGTGTGAAGCCAGGTGTCTCGAATCCTACCTTTTTTAGCATGTCAGTCAGTATGAGGACGTGTCTTCACTTCCAATTTTAGTAGGCTATTACTTAGTGTGCGGACTAGCCTCTCAGCATCTACCTACGTCTGTGTGTTGCTATTTGCCTCGATCCGCACGTCTGGTAGCCTATAGTCGAGTTTGTTAACAAGAGCCTAGGACTTTACTTTGGCCAGTCTCTGGCGAAGAGTGTCGAACTACACCTCTGCTAGCTTGTCAGTTAGTTAGTGTGTCGACTAGCCACTTAACCTCTACCTAGGTCAGTGTGTTGCTAAGTGTCTCGACCCCAACTTCTGCTAACCTATAGTCGAGTGTGTTTACAGGCGCCTAAGACTTTACATAGGCCAGTGTCTGGCGAAGAGTATCAAGCTACACCTCTGCTAGCTTGTCAGCCAGTTGCTTGACGATCGTCTGGGCCTGTACCTCGCCCAGTCTTTCGCCAATGTCTGTAACTAAACTTCTGTTAGCCTGACATTCAGTGTGTCTACCAGTGCCTTGCGTTTTCAGTTGGTCAGAGTGTAAGCAAGTGTCTCGACGTTCGCAACTAAGAGCTTTCCAGTCACTTCGTCGATCAGCACGTCGGCCTCTGCCTTAGCGACGGTGGTGTCAACTCTGTTGATCTTTAATTTTTGTAGCCTCTGAGTTAACGTGTAGTCCAAAGTCTAGGTCTTCACCTCGCCTAACATTTAACTAAGTGTGTAGACCTTTTCCTCCGTAAGCCTGTAGGGTAGTCTCTCGGTTGGCCGTCAGCCTTTACCACGGACAGTAAGTCCAACTAGAGTGTCAACAAGAGTGTCAATCTCCACCTCAGACAATGTTTCGCCAAGTATGATGAGCACACAGCTTTCAGCATCCAGCATCGCCCCAGGGCCTTAAGCTCGGCCAGTAAGACAGATAGTGTGTCGCCAAGTATGTTAAGCATACAGCATCAAGCATCGCCATGGCCTTCAGCCCGGCCAGTGAGTCGCCAAGCGTCTTGAACTCGGACAGTGTGTCGTGAGGTTATTCGACCTACACTTATGATAGCCTATTAGATAGTCTGAAGTGCAAAGCCTAACCTCGGCTAGTGTTTTGTGAAGTGTGTGAACATGCCTCTCTGCTAGTCTGTCAGCCAGTACTTCAACCAGGCTCCTGATATCCACCTCGGCCAGTCTTTTGCTAAGTGTCTCCACCTCCAATACCGACCTTTCAGTTAGTGTTTCGACCAACGCAAGGCCTGAACCTCGACTGATGTGTTGCTCAGTGTCTTAGCGTCCATTTCTCTTTGATTTCTGGCTAGTGTGTTGAATAGCGCCTTGCTCTCTCTTTTTTGAGGCCAAGTGTCTCAACTCATACCTCATTTAGCATGTCAGTCAGTGTGCGGAGAAGTGTCCTGACCTAAAAATTTGGTAGGCTCTTAGAGAGAGTGTCGACCAGCCTCTTCGCCTGCACCTACGAAAGTTTCGCGGCAAGTTTGTCAACTTTCTCTACAACTCTGCTAGCTTGTCTTTTGTTGTTTCACTAGCCTCTCCCTAGGCCTCTACCTTCACGAGGGTCTCACCGAGTGTTTTGAGCTCAGCCTGGGCTTGCCTTTCAGCTAGTGTGTCCACCAGGGCCTTAGCTTCTAGTAAGGCCATTCTTTTGCCAATTAACTTCGATCTTAACCTTTGCTAGTTATTTAGACAGTGTCTCCACCAGTGTGTCAGCCACCACCTTGGAAAATATGTTGCCAAATGTGTTTACCTCCACCTCTGCAAGCCTCTCAGTTAGGGTGGCGACCAACGCGTTAGAATCCAACATTGCCAGTGTGTCCCTTAGTGTCCTAACCTCCATATTCCCTAACCAACCACCCATTATGTTGACTTACGCGTAAGCCTGCCTCTTAGCTAGCGTGTTACTCAGTGTTTTACCTCTAACTCTGTTAGGCTATTAGTTAGTGTTTCGACTAGCTTCTTAGCATCTACCTAGGTTAGTCAGTCGCTAAATGCCTCGACCCGCATGTCTAGTAGCTTACAGTCGAGTGTGTTCACAAGCGCCTAAGACTTTACTTTGGCCAGTGTCTGGCAGGGTGTGTAAAATTACACCTCTGCTAGCTTGTTAGCTAGTTGTTTGACCAGCCGCTGGGCCTGTACCTCGCCGAGTCTTTCACCAAGTGTCTAGAACTAAACTTTTGCTAGCCTGACAGCCACTGTGTGTAACAGTGCTTTGCGTTTTAAGTTGGTCAGAGTGTAGGCAAGCGTCTCGATTTTCGCAACGGCTAGCCTGCCAGTCAGTTCGTCGACCAGCACGTCGGCCTCTGTCTTAGCCACGGTTGTGTCAACTGTCTTTGTCCTTTAACTGTGGTAGCCTGTGAGTTAATGTGTAGTCCATTCTCTAAGTCTTCCCCCCGCCTAACATTTGGCCAAGTGTGTGGACCTTAACCTCTTTTTCTCTGGCTGCCAGGGTGTCAAGCACCGCTTGGCAGTCCACCTTGGCTGGCGTGCTGCCAACTTTTTCTTCCTCGACTACTGGTTGCCTGTCAGCCAATTCGTGTATAAGCGTCTTAGTGTCCATCACCGCAAGTGTGTGGCATAGAGTCTGGACTATTATTAACCTTTCAGTTATTGTTTTAAACTGGGCAACGCCTGCATCTCGATTAATGTGTTGCTCAGTGTCTCGANGGTTGCCTGTCAGCCAATTCGTGTATAAGCGTCTTAGTGTCCATCACCGCAAGTGTGTGGCATAGAGTCTGGACTATTATTAACCTTTCAGTTATTGTTTTAAACTGGGCAACGCCTGCATCTCGATTAATGTGTTGCTCAGTGTCTCGACGTCGACCTCTCTTTGAATGTTGGCCAGTGTGTTGATTAGAGTTTTGGCGTCCTTCTTTGTCAGTGTGAAGTCAAGTGTCTCGAGTCTTACCTCATTTAGCATGTCAGTAAGAGTGTGGACAAGTGTCTTGACCTCCAACTTTGGTACGTTCTTGGAGAGAGTGTCGACCAGCCTCTCTGCCTCCGACCTAGGCCAGTGTCTCGCCAAGTTTGTCAACTTTCTCTACAACTCTGCTACCTTGTCCTTTTCTTGTTTGACCAGCGTCTCCATAAGCCCATACCCTAGCGAGGGTGTTGCCGAGTGTCTTGACCTTCGCCTCGGTTTGCACTTCAGCCAGTCTGTCTACTACCGCCTTAACTTTCACTCAGGCCAGTCTTTTGCCAATTCCTTTGATGTCAACCTTTGCTAGTCATTCAGACAGTGTCTCCACCAGCGCGTCACCCTCCACCTTCGAAAATATGTCACCTTGTAAGTTTACTTCAACCTATGAAAGCCTCTCAGTTAGGGTGTCGACCAGCACATTTGTATCCAACACGGCCAGTGTCTTGCTTAGTGTCCTGACCTTCATCTCTGTGAGCCTCTCAGCCATTATGTTGACTTACGCATCGGCCTGCCTCTTAGCTAGTGTGTCGCTTAGTGTCTTACCGGTAACTCTGTTAGGCTATTAGTTAGTGTGTCTTCTAGCCTCTCAGCATCTACCAAGCTCAGTGTTTCGTTAAGTGCCTCGACACCCACCTCTGCTAGCCTATAGTCCAGTATATCCACAAGCGCCTAAGACATTACTTTAGCCAGTGTCTGGCGAAGAGTGTCGAACTACTCCTCTGCAAGCTTGTCAGCCAGTTGTTTCACCAGCCTCTGGGACTGTACCTCGGCCAGTCCCTCGTTAAGCGTCTGCAACTAAACGTCTGCTAGCTTGACAGCCAGTGTTTCTACCAGTGCCTTGCGTTTTCAATTGGCGAGAGTGTGGGTAAGTGCCTCGACTTTCACAACTGCAAGCCTGTCAGTCAGTCCGTCCACCAGCACGTTGGCTTCTGCTTCAGCCACGGTGGTGTCAACTGTGCGGACCTTTAACTCTGGTAGCCTGGCGGTTAATGTGTACTCCAAAGACTAGTTCTTCACCTCGCCTAATGTTTCGCCAAGTGTGTGGACGTCTTTCTCCGCAAGCCTGTAGGCTAGTGTCTCCATTGGGCGTCAGCCTCCACCATGGACAGGAAGTCGTCAAATGTCTTAACATGCCACTCTGTTAGGTTTCCAGCCAGTGTGTGCACTTGTGCCTTGGCCTCCTCCTCGGCCTGTACTTCGCGAAGTGTCTCAACCTCTACCTCGGCTAGCCTGTCAGCCAGTGTGTTCACCAGTGCATCACTTTCGGCGTTGGCCACTGTCGCCAAGTTTCTCGGCCTTTACTTTTGCTTGCCTGTAAGCCATTAGGTAGTCCAGCACCTTCGCGTTTATCTTAACTTGTGTGTCGCCAAGTAACTCGACCTCACTCCCTCCAACCGTGTCACTCAATTTGTCTAACGTTTCTATGCCCTTTAGCTCGGAAGGTGTGTCGCCAAGTGTGTGGACCAAAACGTCTGTTTCTCTGACTGCCAGTGTGTCAAGCACCGCTTTGCACTTTACCTTGGCAAGCGTGTTGCAAAATTTTTCTTCTTCCACCACTCGTAGCTTGTCGGCCAGTGCGTATATAAGCCTCTCGGCATCCACCTTGGCAAGTGTGAAGCATAGAGTCTGGACATCCACATCTTTTACCCTGTGAGCAACAGTGTCGGCCAGCGCTACAGTCCATAGACCGTTTGTCCGCAAATGTGTCGACCTCTACCGCTACCAACCTATCCGCCAGTGTGGCCTTAGCCTCCACTTTATCTAGTCTTTTGCCAAGTGTGTTGTTCTCCACTATTGCTTGCTTTTCCACCAGTGCCTCGTTTATCGCCTTAGCCTTCATCTTCTACAGTATCCCGCAAAATGTGTAGACCTCCAATTGCACTAGCCTCTTTGTTCGTGTGTCGTTCCAACTTGCCTTTCTGCTAGCCTGTCACCCAGTGTATAAAGCAGCTACTTGCCCTCCAGCTCGACCACTGTGTCGCTAAGTGTCTTGACCTCCACCTCTGCTCCCCTGTGAGCAGATGTGTAGACGTGCACTAAGGTCGGCTGCTGGGCTAGTGTGTTTGTTACTCTCTCTTAGACAGTATGTCAGCCAATGTGTTGACTGCCGTCTCCAACACCACTGTATGGTTAAGAGCATCAAATTCCACCTCTGCTAGCCTGGCAACAGTTTGTTTACAAGCGCCTGGTACTCCACTTTGGCTGGTGTGCAGCAACCTGTCTCGATCTTCACCCCTGTTAGCCTGTCAGCCAGCGGTTCGACCAGCGCCTGGACCTCCATTTTAGCCAAGGACTCGCAAGGTTTCTCAACCTACACCTCGGATATCCTAGCAGCCAATCTGTCAAGCAACGCCTCTTTCTCCCTTTTTATTAGTCTGTTTTCAAGTGATTTTACTTCCAGCCTTGCTTGCCTCTCAACGAGAGTGTCAACAAGCGTGTCAATCTCCACCTCAGACAGTGTGTCGCCAAGCATGTTGAGCATACAGCATTTAGCATCCAGCATCGCATTGGCCTTTAGCTCGGCCAGTGCGTTGCCTAGCGTCTCGAACTCCGACGGTGTGTGGTGAAGTTATTCGACTTTTAGCTATTATATCCTATTAGTTAGTCTGAAGTGCAAAGCCTAACCTTGGCTAGTGCTTTGTGAAGTGTGTCAAATTGCCTCTCTGTTAGTCTGTCAGTAACTACGTCAACCACCCTACTGGTCTCCACCTCGGCCAGTGTTTTGTTGTGTCTCCACCTCCAATACTACTAACCTTTCAGTTAGTTTCTCGATCTTGGCAAGGCCTGTTCCTCAATTAATGTGTTGCTTAGTGTCTCGACGTTCACCTCTTTATAACTGTTGCCAGTGTGTTGACTAGCGCTTTGCCCTCTTTCTTTGTCAGTGTGAAGCCAAGTGTTTAGACCTTAATCTTTGTTTCTCTGGCCGCCAGTGTGTTAGGGCGCCACTTTGCACTCCACCTTGGCCTGCGTGTTGCCAACTTTTTCTTCCTCCACCACTGGTAGCCTGTCAGCCAGTGTGTATATAAGCATCTCGGCGGCTATCTCCGCAAGTGTGTAGCATAGGGTCTGGACATCCACCTCCTCTACCCCGTAAGCGACTGTGTCCACTAGCGCTTCAGTCTCTAGTGCCAGTGCGGCCATGGCCTTCACTTCAGCCAGTCTTTTGCCAAGTGTCTTGTTCTCCACCTTTTGTTGCCTTTCCACCAGTGCCTTAATAATCGTTTTAGCCTTTACTTCGTACAGTATCTCGCAAATTGTGTTGACCTTCACTTGGGCTAGCCTCTTTGTTAGTGTGTCGTCTCCACTTGCATTTCTGCTAGCCTGTCACCCAGTGTATCCAGCAACTACTTGGCCCCCAGCTCGACCACTGTGTCGCTAAGTGTCTCGACCGCTACCTGTTTTTCTCTTCCAGCCAGCGTGCCGACCAGCGCGTCTGAGCCTGCACCTCAGCAAGTGACCCGCAAGGCTTCTCAACCTACACCTCTGATAGCCTATCAGCCAGTGTGTCGAGCAGCACCTCTTTGACTCTTCTTACTAGTGTGTTTTCAAGTGACTTAATTCCACCCTTGCTTGCCTCTCAACCAGATTGTCAGCAAGCGTGTCAATTTCCACCTCAGACAGTGTGTCGCTAAGTATTTGAGCATACAGTATCCAGCATCCAGCTTCGCCATGGCCTTCAGTTCCGCCAGTGAGTCGCCTAGCGTCTCGAACTCGGACAGTGTGTAGTGAAGTTATTCGACCTTTACTTATGATAGCCTATTAGTTAGTCGGAAGTGCAAAGACTAACCTCCGCTAGTTTTTCGTGAAGTGTGTCGACTTGCTCCTCTGCTACATTCTGCGACAAAATGAGTTGAGACAGTTCTCCCAAAAATGGGCCTTTTTACGTGTTATGAACTTCAAAAGGAGGAAATATAGCTTTCCTCCCCCATCCCCTCCGTGCAATGTTGTGCCTGACAATCTTTCGTCAATTGCCTTGATCTCCACTTTTGCTAGTTATCCAGACAGTGTCTCCACAAGCGCGTCAGCCTCCACCTTCGAAAATATGTTGGAAGGTGTGTTTACCTTAACCTCTGGAAGCCCTTCAGTTGGGTGTCCACCAGGCCGTTTGCATCCACTGCGGCCAGTGTGTTGCTTAGCGTCATGACCTCCATCTCTGCTAGCCTGTCAGCCATTATGTTGACTTACTCGTAAGACTGCCTCTTAGCTAGTGTGTTACTCAGTGTCTTACCTAGGCTATTAGGCTATTAGTGTGTCAACTAGCCTTTTAACCTCTACCTAGGTCAGTGTGTTGCTAAGTGCCTCGACCCCCCCCTCTGCTAGCCTACAGTCGAGTTTGTTTACAAGCGCCTAACACTTTACTTTGGCCATTGTTTGGGGACAAGTGTCAAGCTACACCTCTGCTAGCTTGTCAGCCAGTTGTTTGACCAGCCTCTGGGCCTGTACCTCGGCCAGTCTTTCCGGAAGTGTCTGGAACTAAACTTCTGCTCACCTGACAGCCGGTGTGTTTACCAGTGCCTTGCGTTTTCAGTTGGCGAGAGTGAAGGCAAGTGTCTCGACTTTCGCAACTGCAAATATGTCAGTCAGTCGGACGACCAGCACGTCGGCTTCTACCTCAGCCACGGTGGTGTCAACTGTGTAGACTTTTAATTCTGGTATCCTGTCAGTTAATGTGTAGTCCAAAGACCAGGTTTTCACCTCGCCTAATGTTTGGCCAAGTGTGTGGACACCTACCTGCGCAAGCCTGTAGGCTAGTGTCTCCGTTGCGCGTCAGCCTCTACTACCACAGAAAGTAAGTCGCCAAATATGTTGACTTGCCACTCTGTTACCTTTTCAGCAAGTGTGTCTACTTGTGCTTTGGCGTTCGTCTTGGCCTGTTCTTTGCTAAGTGTTTCGACCTCTAACGGCACTAGCCTGTCAGCCAATCTGTTCAGCAGTCATTATTTTCGGTGTTGACTAGTGTCGCCAAGTTTTTCGACATTGACTTCTGCTTTCCTGTCGGCCATTTGGTAGTCCAGCGCCTTGGCGTTTACCTCAATTTGCGTGTCGCAAAGTGACTCGACTTCATTCTCTGCTACCGTGTCACTCAAAGTCGCCAAATGTGCTGACTTGCCACTCCTTCACGTTTTCAGCCAGTGTGTCTACTTATGCCTCGTCCTCCTTCTGGGCCTGTTCTTCGCCAAAGGCCTCGACCTCTACCTCGGCTAGCATGTCAGCCAGTGTGATCACCAGTGCATCATTTTCGGCGTTGGCTAGTGTCGCCAAGTTTCTCGACCTTGACTTCTGCTTCCCTTTTAGCTATTAGGTAGTCTAGCCCCTTGGCGTTTACCTTAACTTGTGTGTCGCCAAGTGTCAATTTGTCTAACGTTTCTATGCCCTTTAGCTCGGACAGTGTGTCGTCAAGTGTGTGGATCTTAACCTCTGTCTGTCTGGCTGCCAGTGTGTCATGCACCGCTTTGCACTCCACCTTGGCCGACGTGTTGCCAACTTTTTCTTCCTCCACCACTGGTAGCCTGTCAGCCAGTGTGTATATAAGCCTCTCGGCGTCCACCTCGGCGAGTGTGTAGCATAGAGTCTAAACATCCACCGCTTTTACCCTGTAACCAACTGTGTCCACATGCGCTTTCGTCTTTACCATGGACAGTTTGTCGCGACGTGTATCGACCTCTACTGCTCCACTTCAGCTAGTTTTTCGCCAAGTCTGTTGTTCTCCACCTTTGCTTGCCTTTCAAACGGTGCCTCAATTCTAGCTTTAGCCTTTATCTCGTACAGTATCTCGCAAACTGTGTTGACCTTCACTTAGACGATCCTCTTTGTTAGTGTGTCGTCTCAACTTGCATTCTGCTAGCCTGTCACCAAGTGTATACAGCACTTTCTTGGCCTCTAGCTCGGCTACTGTGTCGCTAAGTGTCTCGACCTCAACCTTTGCTCGCCTGTCAGCCGGTGTGTCGACTTGCGCCAAGGTCGTCGCCTCGGCTAGTATGTTGCTTATTACCTGAAAATTGATCTCTGTTACACAGTTAGCATGTCAGCCAATGCATTGACTGCCGTCACCTACACCACTGTATGGTTAAGAGTATCAAATTCCACCTACCCTAGCCTTGCAGACGGCTTGTTTACCAGCGCTTGTTACTCCACTTTGGCCAGTGTGTAGCCCACTGTCTCGACCTTCACCACTGCTAGCCTGTCAGCCAGTGTCTCTACCACTTTCTTTGCCCCACCGCAAACAATGTGTTCTAAACTGTCTTGCCGTCAACCTGTTTTTTCCTTCCAGCCAGCGTGTCGACCAACGCCTGGACCTCCACCTCAGCCAAGGACTCGCAAGGTTTTTCAAGGCACACCTCTCATAGCCAAGCAGCCAATGTGTCGAGTAGCATCTCTTTCTTCGTTTTCTAATGTGTGTTTTCAAGTGACTTTACCACCACCCTTGCTTGCCTCTCAACCAGAGTGTCAACAAGCGTGTCAATCTCCACCTCAGACAGTGTGTCACCAAGTATGTTGAGCATAAGGCATTTAGCATTCAGCATCGCCATGGCCTTCAGCTCGGCCAGTGAGTCGCCTAACGTTTCGAACTCGGACAGTGTGTAGTGAAGTTATTCGACCTTTACCTTTGATAACCTATTAGTTAGTCTGAAGTGCAAAGCCTACCTCGGCTAGTGTTTTGTGAAGTGTGTCGACTTGCCCTTCTGCTATCCTGCCAGCCAGTACGTCAACCAGCCTCCTGGACTCCACCTAGGCCAGTCTTTTGCTAAGTGTCTCGACCTCCAATATTACTAACCTTTAGGTCAGTGTCTCGACCTAGGCAAGGCTTGCACCTCGATTAATGTGTTGCTTAGTGTCTCGACGTCCACCCGTCTTTGACTCTTGGAAAGTGTGTTGACTAGCGCGTTTGCCTTTTTTTTTGTCAATGTGAAGCCGAGTGTCTCGATTCCTACCTCATTAGCATGTCAGTCAGTGTGTGGACGAGTGTCTTGACCTACAACTTTTGTTGGCTCTTAGAGAGAGTGTCGACCAGCCTCTCCGCCTCCACCTAGGCTAGTGTCTCGCCAAGTTTGTTGACTTTCTCTATAACTCTGCTAGCTTGGCCCGTTGTTGTTTGACCAGCCTCTTCCTAGGCCTCTACTTTCACGAAGGTGTAGTGGAGTGTCTTGACCTCCGCCTTCGCTTGCCTTTCAGCTAGTGTGCCTACCAGCGCTTTGGCTTCCACCTAGGCGTCTTTTGCCAATTTCCTCGATCTCAGCCTTTGCTATCTATCTAGACAGTGTCTTCACCAGTGCGTCAACCTCCACCCTGGAAAATATGTTGCCAAGTGTGTTTTTCTTCGCCTCTGCAAGCCTCTTGGTTAGCGTGCCGACCGGCGCGTTTGCATCCAACACGGCCAGTTTATCTCTTAGTGTCGTGACCTCCATCTCTGCTACAATGAGGGACAAAAGTGTTGACACACTTCCGTAAAATGGCCCCTTTTTGCATAGTGGATATACTTATCCCCTTCCCCTGTCTACCCCAACCCCTTCCCTCCAAAATCAATGTTGAATTTTGGACCCTCAAGTCTTTTTTTTACTTCAGACAACATTGATTCGGGAGGTCGGGGGATTTACGCCGTTTAAAAGGAATGAAATAATAAATGAATTAAATGTTTGTTAAAAGCACCCGTTTTAAACAAGTTTGTCAACTACTTTTGTCCCTGATTGTCTGAAATATGTATCTGTGTTTTCCGGCTAGATTTTTGACGCTGCTGAATTTTTTTGCCATGACGTTACTCTATGGGCCAAATTGTTTGTTTTTAAACATCAATTTATAAAGTTTCGTCCTGATTTGTAGTATACGTGGAGTAAAATGTACGAAGCGTATGTAATTACTTAATTTTGTACTCCCGCGCGCATTCCTGATACCCTGTCGGGTCGAGACGTGAAATGATTTGTGTTGTGATCAATGCCGTTGCTGCGGATGTAATGTTTTCACAAGTATTATTGATAGTGAAAAAAGGATGGAAACATTAACGTACAATAAAAAATGGTTCTGGTAAATGGTTAACTTAAGCGAATGAAGTACGGCAGAGTAACAGAGGGGACATGCAATATTTTGGACATTGACCTTTGCCACTAGTGAAAGGACGTGAACAATATACAGGTTATAAACCTCATAAATTATGGGCCAGCCGTTTGTGCTATGCCCTATATATAGATCTGTTTTTTATTTTTTTTGAGACCTTTTCTAACCTAAGTGATCCAAACGTTTAGCGTAGGTAGGCGTCGAACAGCTTAGAGCAGGTTAGGAATGTACTTTTTTTAATGATTTTACATGACCGCCTGCCATTTACTCAGTGGCATGATTGTTTATGGATGTTGGACGGACAACTATTTCATTTCCCAGCTCGTAAATCACAGAATGCCAAAGAAATTGTTTTCAAGATAGACACACCAGTTTGTATCATCGCCAAAACAGCAATTACTTTGGCCCAGAAGTTCACTTGATGACAAGCAAAGCCGGATAACACGTGATCGATGACGGCCGTGCGCTGGAAAATTTTCCTTTTTTATGCGCTAATTCCTCACAAAAGACAAAAGAAGATTCCGCTACGTAGAAAGAGCTTCGCAATACGTATTCTTGGCGAGAAAAATTCCAGCGATGTGGTGCAAATAAGGAGTTTCAACGGTTAACCAGGAGAATACATATTGACATTAAGAGGTCATAACAGACTAATGTTACTTTCCGTTTGCCGAACCGTGGTTAACCGTTGTAACACGAAGGAAGCAGTGTTTTCCTCAGTTTGAGCTGTTGTTCTCTTTGAGAGTCAAATACCTGTTCACGTTTCAAAGCTCTCTTTTCATTTTCTCTTCTGACAATAGACATAAACACAGGGTTTCCCTTGAGAAATGCAGTCGAAATACACAAACATATACGCTTATGTCACGCTATTTGCGTTGCGTTATCATGTCACACAGGGTGTCACGAGGTGGGATTGAAAGTAATTGTTTTCGTGTACACTTGCAATGTTTACTACGCTATCTTTAGTTTTTTATTGAACTGGCCATGAATTTATCTTCACTTTTCCGTAGTTTCGATATTGAACGCAGTGACGGCCACTCCTCACTAACGTTCCATATTTCCGTGGCCGGCCAGTGACTATCCCTACTACGTGTCAATCCTTACCCTATCCGTGATTGTTTGGGCCTTAACAATCGGATAAAGTGAAGAACGAGAAATATTCACTTTATTAAAAATATTTTCAGTACGCACCTCCTTGAAATTCATCAAAAGTTGTACATAGGCGCGAGTTTCAGCGTCAGTTTTTAGCTTGTAAACCATATCGACGTTAATTCTGGATATCGCAGCCCTTTTATTACGTCATCGCGTAATTCGAATTGGCCCTATAATTCGGTCGTGAATAAGTCTATGTCACCCCCACCACCAATAACATAATTATGTCATTGATTCCTTTGATTTCAGTTAAAATCAGTGTCATACGCGGCTCAACTTGTGTGCAGTAGCACAATTTTGCATTCAGACAATGAGGGACAAAAGTGGTGACACACTTCCGTAAAATGGCCCCTTTTTGCATAGTGGATATACTTATCCCCTTCCCCTGTCTACCCTAACCCCTTCCCCCCAAAATCAATGTTGAATTTTGGACCCTCAAGTCTTTTTTTACTTCAGACAACATTGATTCGGGGGGTCGGGGGATTTACGCCGTTTAAAAGGAATGAAATAATAAATGAATTAGATGTTTGTTAAAAGCACCCGTTTTAAACAAGTGTGTCAACTACTTTTGTCCCTGATTGTAGCCTTTTAGCCATTATGTCGACTTACGCCTAGGCCTGCCTTTTAGCTAGTGTGTTGCTTAGTGTCTTACCTCTAACTCATTTAGGCTATTAGTTAGTGTGTCGACTGCCCTCTCAGGCTCTACCTAGGTCAGTGTGTCGCTAAGTGCCTCGACCCCTTACATCTGCTAGCCTGTAATCGAGTGTGTTCACAAGCGCCTAACACTTTACTTTGGCCAGTGTCTGGGGAGGAGTCTCGAGCTACACCTCTGCTAGCTTGTCAGTTAGCCTGACAGCCAGTGTGTATACCAGTGCCTTGCGTTTTCAGTTGGCCAGAGAGTAGCCAAGTGTCTCGAGTTTCGCAACTGCTAGCCTGTTAGTTTGTCCGTCGACCAGCACGTCGGCCTCTGTCTCAGCCACGGTGGTGTCAAGTGTCGCAGCCTTCAAATCTGGTAGCCTGTCAGTTAAAGGGTAGTGCAAAGACTAGGTTTTAACCTCGCTTAATGTTTGGCCAAGTGTGCTTCCTACGCAAGCCTGTAGGCTAGTGTCTCGGTTGGGCGTCAGCCTCCACCACAGACAGTAAGTCGCCAAATGTGTTGACTTGCCACTCCCTTAAATTTTCGACCAGTGTATCTACTTATGCCTAGGCCTCGTCCTTGGCCTGTCCTTCGCCAAGTGTTTCGAT